AATAACCGAGTACCTGTCGTACAGTGGTTGTAGCTGCCACAGTTTCGTTCATCGATGCGCTACTCACTTGAGTACTAATCAAATAGATCGATAACTATTAAACTTACGCCAAGCATATGGTTTTTGTGCTTGTGTGTTTTATGGCTGAAGTCTATGTCTCTCATTATTTCCACGACCGGGGCCAAGATAGTGTTGATGAGAGAAGACAATTTTTGCTACTGTTGTGTTTAGGGCGATGAATTCGGTCGTAACCGGACAACCTTGATCGGATGAAAATGATTATAGTTTCCGCGTTTGGTTCCTGGTAGAGTAACCGCCTTAACAGAATTTTTACTATTAGTGATATCAGAATAAAAATGTAAACCTAATTGCTATATGTAACTAGGCCCCACTAGTCAATCTGTACTGTAGCTACGTTTATCGTTAAGTGGTAGCTGTCTGATCGACCGAGATCCTTCCGTGACAATGAGTTACGAGGTGGGAGCGCGTCCCGACAATGAACTACCGTAGAAAACCAGCAAACTGGTCATCCTTTCTATTCTGCTTTTTGTGTGAATCAGCTGCGTACAGTCATTCTTCAAGTGGTGATGAAACGATTCCTTCATCCAATGTAATCATGTTCGTCACGTAGCTGTTGACTCCATTATGGATGGCACCATTCGAGAAAAGTAGTTTGCTACTTCACAACATTTTAAAGTACTACTGAGTGTCCAAACCCACCACGTCTTGTCGATCGCTCATCACCTAAGATCACTGTCCTCATGTAGAGGAGCGGAAACAACATATCACAATAACACACATTTGACGGTGAAGATCCCTGGTAGTTGAATGCACAGGTAAAATGCACAGCACAATTTTGTGTACATCCGCGATTATACGACAATAAGATGGTGGGTTGGATAGCTACTAATTAACCAGAAAACACCTATTTATGCAGTTTCCTATTCTTATATGACCATATTCAGCGATGAAATACCAATACGAAGTAGATGTGGCGAGCGGATGAATAACCCTGTTATGACCAATCGTTCTGTTAGAGTTGGCTTACATCATATTGGACAGCTGTACTGCTACTGACATAAAATGTAAAATGAGTAAGCAGGTCTTGAAACGAGTATGTAGCAACACAAAAGTCAGATACCGGAGCAGATAGGTAACACTGACCCTGGGGTTCCCTGACGCATGCTGTAACAAATGAGCTGTGGAACGCCGTTCCACGGTACATGAATGGGTTCTATCCTGAATACGATTCAATAAGCATGCAACATCGGAAGAATGTAAGCGCCATTACTGAGTTCAAAATGGACTGGACGTAGTAAGGCTCATCAACATGAATGCCTACCAAATAGCCCGTTAGAGGTTCAGAGCAAACTAGACAATTCTCGAAATAGACAGAGTAAAGCCAAACACAATTAAACTTCTGGGCAGTATGCCGTTGACCTGTTCACCTCAATGTAGACCGAAATAACATTCAGAACACTGAAACTACTCTGTCGGCCTTATGGGCCAGACAAATCCTGAGTGAAGCTCCGCCAAGTTTCTTTGTAGAGTTTTGTTTTTTCTCTGTAGCTAGTGCAAATGCACAACAGTTTAGTGGGTTGCAAAACCTGGCTACAAATAGTACAACATAGACAAGTAGATATGTTATACGCGAGAAAATGGTCATTTTGAAAATCAAGCCAAATCAGACGTTATCAACGTGCACACTATCACACCATAGCAACCCATAGAAAGCCACACTTATCTGCATCACCGTGCGACTCAGAAATGGCAGGACTAATTAGTCACCTAATGCATTAGTGACGGTTGTCTTTGGAATGCTGTAAGGTAGTTATTAAACAGCAGCATACGAACTGTCGTTGTATGGACGCTGACAGTGTACTGGATAACAGCCATTCGCAGTTGAAACAAACAGGTCGGTAGAGTGGCGCAAGCAAGAAACAGTTTTACAGAAATGAGAGAAAATCGATAAGGCACCAGGACTATCCCCCTAGAAGAAAAACAGCAACCATATTGCAAGTATAAAATAGTCACCACTAAAAATCACAGTATAGTGCTTCCGCATACGAATATGATTAGATTATTTATAGGTTAACCGTTATCAAAAACTCGCCCAGTGTACTCAAACTACTGTTTTTCTGAATTTTACTCTGTCGAATTTGGAATCAGTGAACACCGAATTCGGGTCTCAAATCAGGATTTTTCCTAGACAACTGTGAGTAGCAAATCTCATATGAAAGCTGTGAAAAGTGTTCTCTGACCATTTTACTAATAAGAACCCATTGGGATATTGATTTTTGTGCATTTTGCGGATACGATTGTTAATTTGGATGCACTACCCCCGGGGTTGTTCCAGTTTTCCTCGTATGGAGGGGGTATTAGATTTTGTGAATGTTCGGGATAAGTTGGAAAAGTTTGTGCCAAGCAGTTTTCAAACCTCACTACTGAGGGAATCGCTCATAAGTCTGAAATTCTGTGTTGAAACGATAAAAGTTGCCTGCCTGTAACCAGGAATGCGACGGATATATCCAGTCATATATAATCCGAGACCACACGAGACTGTACAAGACCTCAGAGCGCAAGTAGAAAGCACTCACCGATTCATACGGATCAGCTTGAACAGCAAGCTACCGGTGAATAAAATGAATCTTCATTTTCGAGAAATACACTCATCTGCAAATCAATTTGGTTTTCACGGGAGACTCAATTGAATCTCTCGTTTATGATGTTCTCCAGCTGAATGTGCTGCACACAGGCCGC